CGTGGTCCCCCTCTTGGGCCCCTCTTGGGGCCGTCTTGGGGCCGTCTTGGGCCGTCTTGGGCGCCTCTTGGGTCGTCTCGGGGCCCTCTTGGGCCCTCTTGGGGCCCTCGTGGAAGCCTCTTGGCCCGTCTTGGGGTGCTCTTGGGGGCCTCCTGGGCCGTCTTGGAGCATCGGATGGCCGAAAAGGGGACAAGGCCCAAATTCTTTCAAAACCATCGTAAAATGTCTGATTTGGGCCTCTCAGGGCCCTCTTGTGAGGCCTCTTGGAGGCCACTTGGAGGCCTCTTGGGCCGTCTTGAGGTCATCATCGGCGTCTTGGAGCGCTCTTTAGGCGTCTCGGGGGCCCTTTGGGCAGTCTTGGGGGCCTCTTGGGGCACTCTTGGCGCGCTCTGGGGGGCCTGAGAAGCCACACCCAGGAGGAAAACCATCTCTGAGTAGCAGTGGTCGGGCGGCGGTCGGGGTACTTTTCGCCAGGGGACCCCCAGGGGCCGCCCCGCGCGCGCGAACTAGAAGTATTGTTTAGCAGTTACCGGAGATCTTAGCACGCCTTTGGCCCGTTGGGCCGGCGAATTATCATTATCATTAGCATTTTTGTTTTATGAACCTAATCATCATCAGCAGCACCATCATCATCAGCATAATCATCAGCATCGACATCATCATCATCATCACCATCATCATCATCATCATCATCATCATCATCATCATCATCATCATCATCATCATCATCATCATCATCATCATCATCATCATCATCATCATCGTTATCATCATCATCATCATCATCACGACCACCAGCATCATCATCATCAACACCATAATCAGTATCGTCATCGTCATCGTCATCATCACCATCTTCCTCATCAACATCATCAGCATCATCAGTATCAGCATCAACATCAGCATCATCATCAGCATCAACATCAGCATCAGCATCATCATCATCATCATCATCAGCAGCAGCAGCATCATCATCACCCCCTGCCTCCTCGAGTCCTTGGCGAAGGCCGATGACGGCCGTCATCCCTCAAGCGCGGACGGGAGGTACTACCTCAGGACGAAGGCGGCCACGGAGGCGATCAAATTCACCATCGAGGCGGGCAGCGCGTTGTGTTGCTTGGGGTGGGCTTGTGGGACAGATGGATGGCGTCTACTACGTCCTTTCCGTCACCACTCCTCTCATACCTCCTTTGTTTCGCTGTTCGTCGCCTTGCCTCCCCCCTCCCCTCCCCCCCTCTCCCTCTCTCCCCCCGCTCCTCTCTCCCCACTCCCCCCACCCTTGTTTTCTCCCCTACTCCCCCCCGCCACCCTTGTCCTCTCCCCTCTCTCTGTCTCCCCTTCCCCCCTCACCCTTGTCTTCTCCCCTTCCCTCGCCCCAGTATTTCAGCCGTGCATCCCTCTCCCTTGCTCCCCTCCCCCGCTCCCTTCCTCGGTTCCCCTACTCTTCGTATCTCCTCATGTGTTTCCTCCCCTCACATTGCACCCTCAGACGGCTCCCCGTCCCTCCTCTTCCCTCTCACCCTCGACCCCCCCATTGGTTTGTTATCTCTCATTATCTCTCTCTCTCTCTCTCTCTGTTTCGCTCTGTGCTTTTCCCGACCATCCTGTAGTGCTGGGTCCTCGTTTTGAGGAGACAGCGCCCCGCGTCTCACCTCCTCCTCCCGCTGCACCCTCCTCCTTCTCCCTCCTTCCAGCATTTGCCTCTGCTTTCCGCATGCCCACCCCATTCTGGCACACCCCACACACGGTCCGTGGCCCCATTGGGTCCGCATGCGGGGACCGCCACACACCCCTCACACGGCTCGTGGCCCCACAGGGGGTTCCACCGAAGGCCCCAGTGGCAGGGTCCGCATGCGGGGACCGCCACCCATTTTGGCACACCTGTCACACGGTTCGTGGCCCCATATGGAGTTCCACCGAAGGGTCGAGTGGCAAGATCCGCATGCGGGGACCGCCACCAATGTTGGCACACCCCTCACGGTTCGTGGCCCCACAGGGAGCTCCACCGAAGGCCCCAGTGGCACAGGACGCATGCGGGGACCGCCACCCATTTCGGCGCACCCTTCACACGGTTCGCGGCCCAACAGGGAGCTCCACCGAAGGCCCCAGTGGCAAAGTCCGCATGCGAGGACCGCCACACCCCTCACACGGTTCGTGGCCCCACAGGCAGTTGCACCGACGGCCCCAGTGGCAGGGTCCGCATGCGGGGACCACCACCCATTTTGGCACATTTTTCACACGGTTCGTGGCCCCACAGGAGGGTTCCACCGAAGGCCCCAGCGGCAGGTCCGCATGCGGGGACCGCCACCCATTTTAGCACACCCTTCACACGGTTCGTGGCCCCACAGGGGGCTCCATCGAAGGCCCCAGTGGCACAGGCCATGTGCGCCCGACGCCCACTTTGGCTCATGGCCCCATTTTGAGTTCCACCGAAAGCGGTACCCACAACGCGGTATTCACAATTGCACATGGTTGGGTCTCTCGCCTTGATCATTTGGTGTTTCTCTCTCTCTCTCTCTCTTTCTTTCTTGCTCTTATTACAGTTGTGAATATTTTCATGTATCTGTTTTCACCACATGTTTCGTGGTGTTATGGTTTTCTTTCCTGCCGCGTCGCACCCGCGACGCTCACTCATCTCCCTCTTCCTCCTCCTCGTCTTCCTCACCTCCTTCTCCTTCTCACACAGCACAGCACTGCTCAGCACAGCTCAGCTCAGCTCAGCTCAGCACAGCACAGCACAGCATAGCACCTCAGCACATCCCTCAGCACAGCACTGCACAGCACAGCACAGCACAGCTCAGAAGACCAGCTCAGCACAGCACAGCAGGCGTGGCACTTTCTCGACACCAGAGGGGGTGCGCAGGGGGTGGTCCCTCAGCGCGGTCTCTATACGCGCCAATGTCGCAGGGCCTAGCAGGCGTGACACTTTCTCGACATCAGAGGGGGTGCGCAGGGGGTGGTCCCTCAGCGAGGTCTCTACACGCGCCAATGTCGCAGGGTATAGCAGGGCTGGCGATTTCTCGACACCAGAGGGGGTGCGCAGGGGGTGGTCCCTCATCCCGGTTTCTATACGCGCCAATGTTGCAGAGCATAGCAGGCGTGGCACTTTCTCGACACGGGGGGGAGTGCGCAGGGGGTGGCCCCTCACCCCGGTTTCTATACGCGCCAATGTCGCAGGGCATAGCAGGCGTGGCACTTTCTCGACGCCGGAGGGGGTGCGCAGGGGGTGGTCCCTCAGCGCGGTCTCTATACGCGTCAATGTCACAGGGCATAGCAGGGCTGGCACTTCCTCGACACTGGCACCGGAGGGGGTGCGCAGGGGGTGGTCCCTCAGCGCGGCATCTATACGCGCCAATGTCGCAGGGCATAGCAGGCGTGGCACTTTCTCGACACCGGAGGGGGGCGCAGGGGGTGGTCCCTCACCCCGGTTTCTATACGCGCCAATGTCGCAGGGCCTAGCAGGCGCGGCACTCTCGACACCAGAGGGGTTGCGCAGGGGGTGGTCCCTCACCCCGGTTTCTATACGCGCCAATGTCGCAGGGCATAGCAGGCGTGGCACTTTCTCGACGCCGGAGGGGGTGCGCAGGGGGTGGTCCCTCAGCGCGGTCTCTATACGCGCCAATGTCGCAGGGCCTAGCAAGCGTGGCACTCTCTCGACACCAGAGGGGTTGCGCAGGGGGGGGTCCCTCAGCGCGGTATCTATACGCGCCAATGTCGCAGATCATAGCAGGAGTGGCATTTTCTCGGCACGGGGGGGGAGTGCGCAAGGGGTGGTCCCTCACCCCGGTTTCTATACGCGCCAATGTCGCAGGGCCTAGCAGGCGTTGCACTTTCTCGACACCTGAGGGTGAAGACACGGCGGTCTCTATCAGTTGCAAGCTCGCACGGCGCAGCAGTCGTGTTATCTTCTCGACACCAGAGGGGGTGCACCGGGGGTTCGGTCTTTGTGCGTTGCAGGCGCGCAGGGCGCGGCAGGCGCGGCACTTTCCTCGACACCACAGCGGGCGCGCTGGGGGCAGGCTCGCAGCGCACGGCAGGCGTAGCAGTTTCCTCGACACCAAGAGGGGCGGTGGTCTCTATGCGCTGCAGGCGCGCAGGGCACTGCGGGCGAAGCGATCCCTCGACGCTAGAGGGTGCGCGCAGGGGGTGCGGTCTCTATGCGTTGACTGGCGTCACCAACGGTATCGGCGGGGCAACGGCCACCAACATCATTCTCACTCCAGCCATAATATAAGTATGTGGGGCTCCTCGGTAGAGTAATTGTGTTCTCTTTCTTTCTCACTGCATCCTCCCCCTCCTCCCTCCTCCCATTCTTTGCCTCTGCTCTCCGCATGCCCATCCCATTCTGGCACACCCCTCACACGGTTCGTGGCCCCATATGGAGTTCCACCGAAGGGTCCAGTGGCAGGGTCCGCATGCGGGGACCGCCACCCTTTTTGGCACACCCTTCACCCGGTTCGTGGCCCCACAGGGAGCTCCACCGAAGGGTTCAGTGGCAGGGTCCGCATACGTCAACGCCACCTATTTCGGCGCACCTCTCAAACGGTTTCGCGGCCACCGAAGGGTCCAGTGGCAGGGTCCGCATGCGGGGACCGCCACCCTTTTTGGCACACCCTTCACCCGGTTCGTGGCCCCACAGGGAGCTCCACCGAAGGGTTCAGTGGCAGGGTCCGCATACGTCAACGCCACCTATTTCGGCGCACCTCTCAAACGGTTCGCGGCCCAGCAGGGAGCTCCACCGAAGGCCCCAGTGGCAATGTCCGCACGCGGTGACCGCCACACACCCCTCACACGGTTCGTGGCCCAACAGGGAGCTCCACCGAAGGCCCCAGTGGCAAGGTCCGCATGCATGGACCGCCACCCATTTTAGCACACCCCTCACACGGTTCGTGGCCCCACAGGGAGCTCCACCGAAGGGTCCAGTGGCAGGGTCCGCATGCGTCAACGCCACCTATTTCGCCGCACCTCTCAAACGGTTCGCGGCCCAGCAGGGAGCTCCACCGAAGGTCTCAGTGGCACAGGCCACATGCGCCCGACGCCTACTTTGGCACACCCCTCACACGGTTCGTGGCCCCATTTTGAGTTCCACCGAAAGCGGTACCCACAACGCGGTATTCGCAATTGCGCATGGTTGGGTCTTTCGTTTTGATCATTTGTTGTTTTTTTTCTCTCTCTCTCTCTCTCTTTCTTGCTCTTTCTATATGAATAAGCAGTGTCGGGACCTGTTTGTTTTTCGATCTTGACCCTACGGATCTGCATGAGGGGTGCCACCGAATTTCAGAAATGTGGCAAATCCCTTGTGTTTTTGGACCCTGACCCTACGGATCTGCGTGATGGGTGCCGCCGAATTTCAGAAATGTGGCAAATCCCATGTGTTTTTGGACCCTGACCGTGTCGATCCGTGTGAGGGGTGCCACCGAATTTCAGAAATGTTTAGAATCCCTTAGGTTGTTGGACCCCGACCCAGCCGATCTGCGTGAGGGGTGCCATCGAATTTACGAAATGTGCCATGTGTTTTTTGCACCCTGGCACCGCCGATCTGAGTGAGGGGTGCCACCGAATGTCAGAAATTGTGCAAATCCCATTTGTTTTTGGAACCTGACCCCGCCGATCTGCGTGAGGGGTGCCACCGGATTTCAGAAACGTTGTAAATCCCATATGTTTTTGGAACCTGACCCCGCCGATCTGCGTGAGGGGTGCCACCGGATTTCAGAAATGTGGCAAATCCTATGTGTTTTTGGACCCTGACCCCGCCGATCTGTGTGAGGGGTGTCAATGTTGACCCACCCCAGCAATTCAGACAACATGCTCAGGGCGTGCTAAACCTGCCCGTTTGGGCCTCCCCCCCCTCGCGCGGTCCATCAACAAGGAATAGTAAGCAGCAAGAAGCAGAACTGTTACAGTGGAAACTGGAAGCTGCAACTGGTACAGGAAACTGCGAACCTTCGGCCTACAGCCTGGTGGCCCCACAAGGGGGCCGGCGGATCTTTTCATGTGTTCTCTCTCTCTATATACATGCTTATCTCACTCTTTTTTTGTTTTTTTGTTGTTCTCTCTCTCTCTCTGTCTCTCTCTCTCTCTCTCTCTTTCTTCAAAAGGTTTTCGCCTGTCCGCCGACCCATAAAACCGTGCATTCGTCAAGAGTCGTGCAACCGTGCCGACCCTGAACGACGACGGCGACGACGACGACCATTTGGCGGTGTTCTGATCCAGGACCCCCACTGGGTCCCTCCCCCGCCCGGCGGGGAAGGGATCAAAGGGCTGAGTGGCTGGCGGTTGAAGAGGAAGGTGTGGCAATGGTGGGGCGGCAACGTGGACGACGACGGCGACGACGACGACGACGGTGACGACGGTGACGACGACGACGACGACGACGGCGACGACGACCACGACGACGACGGCGACGACGACGACTACGACGACGACAGCGTCTCCCACACGCCGACTTGGTCGGCGGACTGAGCTGGAAGTTGGTAGCCTCAAGGATGCCAGCCCCTCCAACCCCACACTCATGTTAGGCTGACCTTCCTCCTCATCTTCCTCCTCCTCTTTGACCTTGCCAGCGCGAGGACCACGGGCCCTTGGCGAGGGCTGGCGGCGCCTCCTCCTCCTCCTCCTCCTCCTCCTCCTCCTGCTCCTCCTGCTCCTCCTCCTCCTCCTCCTCCTCCTCCTCCTCCTCCTCCTCCTCCTCCTCCTCCTCCTCCTCCTCCTCCTCCTCCTCCTCCTCCTCCTCCTCCTCCTCCTCCCCCCCCTCCTCCTCCTCAGGCCGCGCGCGCGGGTCATTCCCGCACCCGGCGAGCATTGAACAGGAGCTTGTAAACACCTCCGCCGCCCCTCCCGCAGGGAGGGCGGCTCCCCCCGGGATGGCCGGCCGTCTGAGACGGCGGCCACTCCCAGGAGGGAAGGGTATGCTGGCCAGTGCCCATAGACTTTGTTACTGCCTCTTCCTCCTCCTCCTCCTCCTCCTCCTCCTCCTCCTCCTTTCTCCTCCCCCTCCTCCTCCTCCTCCTCCTCCTCCTCCTCCTTCTCCTCCTCCGCTCCATTTGCCCTCCCCAGGCAGACCCTACCAAACAACCCACCCGACGAGCGCCTCGTTCGAACCAAAGCCTCCTCCCCCCCACGATCCTCTTCCCCGATCCTCCTCGATCCCCCCTACCAGCCAGCCCGACGTACGCCCCCCGCCTACCCTCGAGCCGCCCGCCAGTGAGGCGAGTGGCGAACCCGGGGGTTCGTTTTGGGGCCTCTTGGAGCCTCTCTTTTGGTCCTCTTGGGGGCATCTTGGGGGGCCTTTGGGGGCCTCTTGAGGCCTCTTGGGGGGCCTCTTGGGGGGCCTCTTGGAGCCGTCTTGGGCCTCTTGGGGCCTCGTGCACGCCCAGCGCGCGCGCGAGCACGCGCCGCCGCGCCGCGCCGCCCCCCCCTCGCCACAGGTCGACGCAGTCAAGCGGGCGTCGTCTGGGTACCCGGCCACCCCGGCGAGCGGCGACGGCGCGACGCCCACAGGCGGGCGCCGCCCCGCTCGGCGTCTTGGCCAGGGCTCCTCCTCCTCCTCCTCCTCCTCCTCCTCCTCCGCCTCCTTTTCCTTACTTCCGTAGCCATTTTGGCTCGAGGTTCAAGCTGTTTCTTCCCGCTTTCGTGCCTCAGCCATTTCCTGGTGATGGCGGCGTGGCGGGCAGACGGCGTGGCTACGGGGGCGGCCCGCCCGTGTGGCTGCCCAGCTCGCAGCGGGCTGCCGAGATCTGCGCCCTCGGCCCTGCTGCCGCGCGCCGCGCTGCTCGCCACCGTCGTCAGGCAGCCTGCGAGGCTGGCCTGCGCGCGCAGGCAGCTGGCGGCGGCCCTGGCAGCTGGCAGGACCGGGAGCTGGCCTCCCGCCCAGCCCTCCGCCGTGTCGCCGCCAGTCTTCGCGTACCTGGCCGCGCTCGACGTCGCCGCAACGCGGCCTGGCATTCCGCGGTGGCGCCGCCGAAGGGCTTCTCGTCGGCGTCGGACGCGGAGATCTCTGCAGCGGCTTCTGGACCCAGGCTGGGCGCAGCTGCTCGGCCGCTGCTGGCGGAGGCGGAGGTGCTGGCAGCAGATGGGCTCAGTGACGGAGCGCGTGCTGCTCATGCGTCAGGTGCCGCGGTGTGGGACGTCTTCTCCTGGCTGTGCCCTCCTGGTGGGGCCGCGCTGGCATTGCCCACGCTCCCAGCGGGGATCGGGGTGTGGCACGCCGCCCACCTGGAGGAGCTGCTGCAGGCGAGGGCGCAGCCCGCCATTGTCCCCAAGTACGTCGTCATCGAGGTGCCGCCGCTGAAGCCGCCGCCTGCCGTTGATGGCGATCCTTGCGGAGGTGCCTACCCTTCCGCCGAGCGCCCCGCAGATACTTTAAACGGAGAGGGTTAAAGGCGATATGTATATCGAGCATGCACCGCTGCCGTGCCTGGCTCAAGCCGGGCCCGGCCGAACATGTGATTGTGCCTCACTGAGGCGCACTACTTGCATCTGAGATCGGAAAAGACCTTTCTATTGACGATGCCCCTTCTATCCTTTACTCCAGATCCCATGCTTCATCTTGCTCTCTTGCTCATGCGATATGAGACAAAGCCTGGGATATGGGAGCGCCTAAGGCGGAACATATATCTTGGCTTACCAGTGCGTTTTCGACTTGGTAGCGGAGCTGGCTACACTCTCGTGTGGCTGGCTCTCGCTCTAATACCCATAATCCACGGCACAACTTGGTGGACTACTACTACGGTGGAATACCATGTTGCGCCGGCTCTGCGAGGAGCGGAGCCAGTCCGCGATCGAGCTAGCGGGGCGACCCGCGAGCTCGAGACGCTCTCTCCTACTTCACTGCGCTACTTCACTCCCGACTTCCACCAGATGCCAATCGGCAACTCGATCGAGAACGTGGTCACCCTGCGGGGCTACCCGCAGCGGGGCCACCTGCATCCCGTGCCGGTCAGGCGCCTTACGGCTACTACGCCAGAGCCTGACAAACCACAGCCTAAACCAATCACCGAAGCCGAGATGCACATGCACTGGATTAAGATAACTATCTTCGGCATTCTATGGGTGATAATGGGATGTGCTGTGGGCTACATGCGGCAGGGGATGGACGACACGCGTACTACCGGCCCTTCTGGGACCCAGCCGGTACTACGCCCTTTCGCGAGTACGTTCGCGAAGTACATGCATGGATAAACGTGACGAGCGGCAATATGACGCCACCTCAGCAAGCTGCAGCACTACAACGTGGCCTTCAAGGCCTTGCTCGTCGTATCGCCATGCAGGTCCCCTCCCAGATCATCAATTATGGTGTAACTGTCAACGGACAGCCAACGGATGCAGTTACTTACATACTGTACCTACTGAGCACCAAATTTGAAAATCTGGAAGATGAGCGCCAGCTCAACTCTGGCACTGCCCTTATCGACTTTCGCGTCGAAAGGGGCGAGCGAATCGACTCAGTGTTAGCTCGATTCGAGATGGCCCGTGACGAGGCTAACTCTGTTGGCTTTGTCATCCCCAACTTTCAGATCCTAACGCTGATCCTTTTCAGAGCGTTAGGCGTTGGCGCGTCACGAGCCCAACACCTGCTGGAGCCCTTTAATCATCAGATGCCCAGAACACAAGCAGACTATGATAGGCTGCTGACCAGGATGAGGAACTACGGGCATGTTGCCGAGCGCTCTCCTGGCAACATTGCGGGTATCTTCGCAGGGCACCACGCGCGCGCAGGTGTCTACGCTACGACTGCGGGGTCACCCGCTGGTCCTGGCGAACCAAGTCCCTGGGCTGATCCAGCCGATATGCCCAACGAGGCCACTGCCTTCTTAGGGCAGACCGGCCAGGCATCGGCAGAGGCAGCGGAGGCGAACGCCTGGTCGAACTACACGCCGGGCGCCGCCTACACTGCAAGCCCGCCCTCGGGCGCAACCCTCTGGGGCCAAGCGGAGTCATCCGCTCAAGGGTCTCAGCCACCCTCTCCGTTTGAATCTGGCACTGACACAGATACCTCATCTGACGGTGATCACAATGGTATAGTCTCTGCTGGTAATGACTATCCAGCTGATGACACTCACCTTTCTGAACAACAAAGAGCGGAAGCCGCTTTTATGGCTCATCGCAAATCAAAACGCCGTTGGAGGCGCTTTATGAAGAAACCGGTCAGAAAAGTGAGACGTGCAGCACGCCGACATTTCAAACGTTATGGAAAGGGTCGTGGCAAAGGGGGTCGCAGACGCCGTATGCATGGTAGGGGTATCACTGCTTTCCTCACGCCCTTAACTGACATAGTTTTTGAAGAAGTTCTTATCGGAGGCAAAGGTCGGGGTCACAGGCGGACCTCTGGCAAGGGAAAAGGGCGGAGGGGCAACCCTAGGGGCGCTTCTGGCAACACAATGAAGTGTCACACATGCGGTAGTACAGAGCATTTTTTTGCGCGATCATTGCCCGAAGGGGAAAGGAAAGGGATCCGTACATTTGGCTCAAAACTCTTTTATGGATGACATAGACTACATTGACTACGAGTTTTACGTCAATCCAGAAGCGGCTCCCGCCGCGGGCTCCTCCACGTACTACGTGATGGCCCGCTACGCTGATGTGACCGTAGCCTTGGAAGAGTACGCGGTGACCCTCTTCGACGAGTTCCACGGCTGGGACGAAGTCGACGAGGTCGCGTTCAATGCCTGGTTCGGTCTTCCAGCGGGGCCACCCGCCGACGACGAGATCTCCGAAGCTGAGACCGCCCCGGCGACAGGAGGAGCTCGCCGCCGCGCTGGCACCGCAGGTGATTGGCATGCCGTTGCTGCCTGATCTTTCGCAAGCCGGCTCGGAAGCGGGAGACGCTGATGACGAAATGCGGGGCCATCCCGCAGACTATTCTGACTCTGAAGAGGCCGAAGAGGACTATAAGGTCAGGCTCCAAGAGCAGGTCGCAGAAGCGATCCAGCTCCTGAGTGCGCCAGCATATCAGCAGATAACCATGAACGACCTGCTGTCGCGCCCAGGAGCCGCAAGGCTGCGTCCATTCCTGGATCCTGATATGTCGGCACCTCAGATGCTGACTGCACTCCAGGCTCTAGCGGGGTCACCCGCCGAAGCGGCGCCGGCTGCAGCAGCGGGGCCACCCGCCTGGTCTATGGACGCATTCATGCAGGGCTGCGACCAGATGGACCTCAACGACCTCACGATGGAGCAGCTAACCGACATCGGGTACTTTCAAAGCCCGCATCAGCACGTATTCATGGTCCAGGACAGCTCAGAGGACTCGGAGGACAGGCGCCATGCAAAGAAGAACAGACGACCATCGCCACCCCGAGACCCAGAGCACCGTCATGAAGATGAAAGGCCCATGGAACGTGGCAGTGCGTCAGCGGGGCCAACCCGAGGGAGGAGCCGTTCAGCTCCACGACGCCCTACACATGATGCATCTGGCTACCCGTACAGCACGGAGCACTCCGTAGGTGTATCCGCTCAGTACGTGCCGGAGTGGTACATCAATTGGTACCCCGGCTACTCGATGGACGTGATCCGCCACTGGTGGTCCAAGGAGCACTGCAAACGGAACGAATCTGGCATGATAATACGTGCCAAAGGTGGCAAGACTAAAACGCCAGAGGCTTGGGACCGAAGGGCTAAGAAACAGGAGATCATCAACGATCGCAAGACATACAGGAAACAAGTATGTCAATGCGAGCCTTTCAAAGGTCACATGCGCGGCTGCCCAATGGACCGCCCCTCCAGGAGCCCTCATTACGGTGAGACCCCCTGGAACTGGTCTCATGGAGATGACGCTGGCACCGCCCACGATCCTAACAAGAAGGCCCCTGGAGGAGGAAAGCGCATCACTGAAGCCGATCGCGTCCCTATGACCGAGGAGGTTGCTGACACTGTCAGGGAAAATTGGGAACAGCTTCCCAAAGACCATCGCCTCAAAGAGTGGAACCGCCGATTCCATAAAGAGGCGGGGTCGCCCGCAGAATCCAGCGGAGAAGCGGGGTCACCCGCAGACGCGGCGCCAGCCGCTGGGTCCGCGGACGAAGAGTGGATGGCTGTTGCATCTGCTGCCGAATCCGCCGCCGGTACTGACCAGACCGAACTGAATGAAGAATGGGCGGCGGAAGACGGCTCAGAGAATCCATTCCCTGATGGATGCGCCTGCTGGTACTACAGCTCCTCGGCACAGAAGTGGTTTTGCACGAGGGTACTTTACCGCCACGAAAATGGCAAATACAAGCTGGCCATAAAAGGTACTGCCAACATCGACCAGATGAGGCAGATCATCCATGATCACGGCCAGCCAGAAGGCCCTCCTAAAGACCCTCCTGGTCCACAACCAGACGAGGGCAACGAACCACCTTCAGGACCTGAAGCCGACTCCTCGTCTCCACCTTCTCCTGCGAAGAGGTACCCTTCCAAGAGCCCCGAAGGTGCACAGGGGCGTGCGAAGGCCAGAGGGATCGCCAAGAAGGACGACCCTGAGCAGGGAGAGCCAACCGGCCCGTCCGTGACGGAGAGGA